TCTTCGGAACATCCGAGTCCCGAATCTTCAGCTGATGATATCCTGACCTCAGGTCAATCTTAGAGAACACCCTGGCACCCTGCAGCTGGTCGAACAAATCATCAATACGAGGCAACGGGTACTTGTTCTTGATGGTAACCTTGTTCAACTGGCGGTAATCAATGCACATCCGCATGGTCCCATCCTTCTTCTTCACAAATAGCACTGGTGCGCCCCAAGGCGATACACTGGGCCTGACAAACCCGTTTGCTAACAACTCCTCTAGCTGCTCCTTCAACTCCTTCAACTCCTTAGGAGCCATACGGTACGGTGGAATGGATATAGGCTGAGTGCCTGGGGCCAAATCAATACAGAAATCAATATCATGATCCGGAGGCATGCCAGGAAGATCAGAAGGAAACACATCGGCGAACTCTCGGACTACTGGCACTGAATCAATCGTCGGAGACTCTGCAGTGGTGTCTCGAACATAAGCTAAGTAAGCCAAACACCCTTTTCTAACCATGTGCCGAGCCTTCAGGAAGGAGATAACCCTGCTAGGCATGTCAACTGTGGAACCCTTCCACTCCAATCTCGGCGATCCTGGCATCACTAGTGAAACAGTCTTGGCATGGCAATCAAGGACAGCGTGATATGGAGATAGCCAATCCATGCCCAAGATGACCTCAAAATCGATCATGTCTAGTAATAGAAGATCTGCTCTAGTCTCGAGACCACAGAAAGTGACCACACAGGACCGGTAGATCCGATCCACAACCATAGAATCACCTACAGGTGTGGACACATGAACAGGAACACCCAAAGGCTCAGGAGAAATAACCAGGAAGCGAGCGAACAGAGATGATACATATGAATAAGTAGACCCTGGATCAAATAATACCGAAGCATCCCTACCACCAACGGGAATAATACCTGTGATAACGGCATCTGAGGCCAATGCATCCGGCCTGGCTGGAAGAGCATAGAACCTGGCTGGAGCACCGGCTGTCTGACCTCCACCTGACTGAGTAGTAGCTGGCTGACCCCTCCCTGTCTGGCCTGCACCTCTAGGACGGCCTCTACCCGTCTTCCCTCCACCTCTAGGTGGCTGGGTAGCTGGTGCTGGAGTCGTGGACTGCTGACCCTGCTGCACTGCCTTGCCCCGAAGCCTGGGGCAGTATCTCCTCATGTGACCGGTATCTTCGCACTCAAAGCAACAGCGCGAGGCGGCGACCTGCTGCCCTGATGGCTGACCCGGATAACCCGTAGAGCCGCTGGAAGAAGCCTGGATAGCCGGTGGACGACATGAACTCTCCGGCATGGCACTGAAATAAGAATCAAGAGGACCCTGGGGACCTGAATGCCCACTGGAGGAACCCTGAATGGCTGGCGGGCGGTAGGAAGTCTCTGGCATAGCACTGAAATAGGGGCGTACTGGAGCCCCCCGGGTAGGAGGTGGTACTGAAACTGGTGGCCTACTAGGATGGCCTCTCCCATACTGACCTCTGCCCCTAGCTGGGGCACCTGTGAACCCGTCGGAGAACCTAGCTCTCTTATCCTGCTGTATCTTCTCTCTACCCCTCTGGCGATATTCCTCAATCCGATGAGCAATCTCGACCACTAGCTGATACTCTGTGCCCATCTCCACCTCTCCAGCCATACTAAATCGAATACCGGGCTGCAATCCAGTGACAAACCTCCGCACCTCTCCGTATCTGTAAGAAGTATCATGAGTGCATGGCGGGACAACTCGGAAAACCTCGCCTCATAGTCAGTCACAGACATCTGACCCTGCTCGAGTTGCTCAAACTGGTACCGCAGCTCCTCCCTCTCAGAGGGCGGGATATACCTATCCAAGAACAACTGTACAAACTGATTCCAAGTGATGGGAGGAGAACCTGCTGGCCTGCCGAGTACATAGGACTGCCACCACCTACGGGCCCTGCCCTCAAGCTGAAAAGTAGTGAAGTCAACTCCATGCGACTCCAATATCCTCATGTTGTGCAGTCTGTCCCTGCACCTGTCTATGAAGTCCTGAGCATCCTCATGACGCTCACCCCCGAAGACTGGAGGGTGAAGCCTGGTCCATCTGTCTAATAACTTTTGTGGCTCACCATCCACAGCTGGCCTGGGCTGGGGTGCCACTACAGCAACTGGCTGATCCTCATCTGCGGGTAGTGCACCCGGAGTCTGATATACTGCAGTTGCGTGGCCTGGAGCCTGAGCAGTAGGGGTCTGGGCTCCCCCTCCTGCCTGTGAAGTGGCTGGGTCTGCTGGAAATAAACCCGCCTGAGTCATGGTGTCCATGAATCGTAGCATGCGGCCCATGACCTCCTGAAATCCCGGTGCTGTCATGAAATCCGCCGGGGTAGGCTCAGCTGCGGGCACCTCGCCCTGCTCCTCAATAATAGGGTCCTCTACAGGATCTGTCGGTGGTGCAACTGGAACGGCTCTAGGACGCCTCCGCCCCCTACCACGGGGCGGTGCCCTCCCCCGGCCTCTACCTCGGCCTCTAGCAACGGGGGGAGCAGCTCCTCCTGGGTCCGGAACGTCGGCGGTACGAGTTCTCACCATCTGTGAGAGAATAGAAGAGGGAAATTTAGTACTCTAAGCACTGCACGACAGGAAATGAATAAAGAGTAGTCTTTCCTAATACCCTATAGCCATTCGAAGATAAATACAGACGTCTCCGTGCCGATCAACAAGACTCTATCAGGTTTGCCCATAACTCGTGAGACCTACGTGAACCTAGTGCTCTGATACCATGTTGTCACGACCCATTTTCACAATAGGTCATGAGGGCGCCTGACACCCTTGTCAGGCAAGCCATTGCAGAAATATTACTAAAATAATCATATTGTTTTTAATTAGAATAAGTGGAATAAACACTCAATTTGGAATTTAAAACCAGGAGAGATAAATACTATAATAAAATAGTTACACAACCCCAAAATAATCGTCTACCAAAGTGTGTGCCAGAACCTGGTGTCACAAGCTACGGGCAACTAGTAGAATATACAACCCAAAAGAATACCACACTACCCTACTGTCTGGATCAGAATACACAGAAAATAACAATACAAAAGAAAGACTTCTTCAGCTGCGGATCGAAATGGAAGGAAAGCAGCTCACCGTAGAAGTCCCAAGTCTGCTCACGAATGCGCACCAGAGAAATAACCGGATCCACCTGCCTCAGACCCTGTACATTTAAGTACAGAAGCGTAGCATGAGTACATAAACAATATGTACCCAGTGAGTATCCCGCCCAATCTCGAAGAAGTAGAGACAAGAGGTCGACTTGATACTCACTAGGGTCAGATAACACTATAAGTGTAAGTTTAACAATGAGAACTCTTTAATAAGCAATAGTTTACCACAAGGCATATAAGTCATATTCTCGCTAAGATTCCGATTAATCAATTACTTCAGTTACAATTATCAATTCCTTTCGAGTCATGAAAAAAAAACAGTTCCAATATTTAACACTCTCAGGCAAAGCTATATAAGCATGCGCAAATATGCCGAGGTGACGGCCCGNATTTTTTTGAATGTTTGGTTTGTTGTATTAGAAATTGATATACATTATATAAATTTTGAAGTAAAATGCTTGTTTACAACTATACCCCTGGCCTTCTTTTGCATTGTTTTTTCTTTCTCTCCATTTATGTAGGAAACAATTTAGTTAGGAACTTTGATGTTACTTTCACTTCTTCGTCATACTACTGAACTATGTGAAGTTTAGACATATTTGATTTTCACTTCTTAGTTTTGGTATTTCCATTTTCTAGTGGCTTCTCCAGTTTGCTTTTGCTAGTTTGTTCTTTAAAAATGAGAGAAGACAAGGTATATAGTTGGCAAGTGANAGTTCATTCAGTATTTTATCCATGTATTACTAACACATGTATTAGTTATTCCATCTTCTACCCCGCATAAAATAATACACAGATTGACTCATAACTTATACATGTATTATTTATGCATAATTGAAAAATGTCAACCAAACATGGTATTAGTTATACAGAATTTTATACAAAATAATTATTGCCTACCAAACATGGTATAAGTTATGTTACCCCTTATACATGAATAACCTTTCTTCTAACCAGCTACCAAACGACCTCTAAAGGGTCGTTTGGTTGCCGGTTAGAGTTATGCAGGTATTAGTTATACATGTATTAGTTATGCATGGATTAGTTATGCAGGGATAAGTAATGCAGGGATTAGTTATGCAGGTATTAGTTATGCAGAGATTATTTTTTTGAATGTTTGGTTTGTTGTATTAGAAATTGATATACATTATATAAATTTTAATGTAAAATGCTTGTTTACAACTATACCCCTGGCCTTCTTTTGCATTGTTTTTTCTCTCTTTCCATTTATATAGGAAACAATTTAGTTAGGAACTTTGATGTTACTTTCACTTCTTCGTCATACTACTGAACTATGTGAAGTTTAGACATATTTGATTTTCACTTCTTAGTTTTGGTATTTCCATTTTCTAGTGGCTTCTCCAGTTTGCTTTTGCTAGTTTGTTTTTTAAAAATGAGAGAAGACAAGGTATATAGTTGGCAGGTGAAAGCAAGTGAAACCTGTTGACGGGTTGGCAGAGAAATAAGGAAGCCTTATGTGTAAAGTGATAGGGGTAAATTTGTCATTTCAGTATTTTATCCATGTATTACTAATACATGTATTAGTTATTCCATCTTCTACCCCGCATAAAATAATACACAGATTGACTCATAACTTATACATGTATTATTTATGCATAATTGGAAAATGTCAACCAAACATGATATTAGTTATACAGAATTTTATTCAAAATAACTATTGCCTACCAAACATGGTATAAGTTATGTTACCCTTATACATGAATAACCTTTCTTCTAACCAGCTACCAAACGTGCAACAAATTTATAGTGACACTAGTAAAAAAGAAAGTAAAAAAAGAAGCTTGGCACAAATAAAGAGTGTAGTAATGGTATATGAGTCCAATCAATCACCGTTGAGCAATCCAACAGCGGGCCCCTACTCCACACTCCTTACGAGAAGAGGGTAGCAGACAAAACAAATGAGTAGCTAAAGTCGCCGTATATTACTATGTAAATAAAACACTAGATCAGCTTATTTTGTACCGGCAATCAAATACTATACAGCTAACACTAACTTTGTGCTCTCTGTTTTCTTGTATTTGACAATCCCGAGAAAAGAAAGAACTGGTTAGGTAAAACCCATCTCATGAAATCTCTCAATATTATTGATTTATTGGTAGAGTATATCGGTAGTCCTTATGTTTCCAATATGTGATCTTGATTTTTCTAGACAACTGTTTTATTTGGGTAATACTATTAGATTGTTGTTTTTATTTGTATATATGAGTATTTATGGATAATTTTGGACTTTTTGGTTCAGTTATGCAGCTGATTCTTTGTTTAAGGTTATGATCTTTTGCTTTTTTAATTTCACTCAAATTGGTATATATATGGGTAATCTTTATTTTTCCATTCTATGATCTTGATTTTTTCACCGTAATTCTTTTCTTTGGTTAATATAAGTTGTTTATATTTGTATATATGAATGCAACATTATTTCTTTTTTTGGGAAATTCAGGACCTTTTGGTGTAATTATCAGCTGATTCCTTGTTTAAAGTTATGATCTTTTGTTTTTCCCCCCAATTATATTCACTTGTTAATCTGGTTTTACCAAGTTGTTCAGGATTATCATCTGATGGGTGTTTTGTTAAGCTGTTGCCTTTTGCCTTTAGTAGCTCTGTGTTCTTGATTTTACTCAACCTGGTAAATCTGGGTAGTTGTCACTTTTTTAATTTTTTTTGTTGTGTACCTTTCTTTTTGGAAATTCTATGTAATTATGCAGCTGATTTTTTGTTAAAGTTATGACCTCCTTTTTTTTTTTTTTGAATATCCTTTTGTTTTCATGTATGTTCTACTTAATCTGGTTCCGAAGTGTGGTTTGATGGGTATTTTGTTAAGAGGTTGGCTTTGCTTTTAGAATAGTATATACATCCTGTTTTTCATTGCATTGTGAGTATATACAGAAATCACCTTGAGTAGATAAGCAGGCTTCAGACTTATATGCCAGGTTTAGGATTTAATTTCCAATGGGGTGAGGCTTTTTGGTCGAAACAGAAAGATGGGGTTGTCTCGGGATGCAAAAGGTGGTCGGAGACTACCCTGGTAAATCAACGGGGATTAATGAATAACAAGGTGAATATATGTTTAATCATGTAGCTATCGTGGTTTTTGTTTTTTCCCTTGTCAATTGTTTTGTAAGCACTGAGAATGTTCTTTTAACTTTTACTTGGTGTTTGAATTGAAATATTGAGATGTTGTTTTGCCCATTTTGATTGTCTATCAAAATCCAGGAGTTAATATGCGTGGCATAACTCGTTATTACTTGCTATAATGAATTTGTATTTGTGTATGAAACTAGGATGGGGCCAGTTTTACTAATGTACTTGTCATGTTATACTGAAATGTTTAGTGTTGCTTTTAAGAGCTTTGAATGTTTGATCTAGATTAAGAGGCTGTTGTGAACAGGTAATTAATTGTGGAAGCTATCAAGTATTAGGATTCGTGTTCGTGTTTTGAGAAAGGAAATGGGATCGGAGGGGCCAAAATCTGTGACCATCCATGTGACGGGGTTCAAGAAATTTCACGGTGTTGCTCAGAATCCTACGGAGACAACAGTTAATAGCTTGAAAGATTATGTTGAAAAGAGAGGATTACCTGCTGGTGTGACCTTGGGTAGCTGTACTGTTCTTGAAACTGCTGGAGAGGGTGGACTTCCAACATTGTTGAAGGTCATAGAGTCAGAGTCCTCTTCAGAAAACAGTTCAAATAATGGACAAGTCGTATGGGTTAGTTCTTCCAAGACAACCTTTTCCTTTGACTAATTTGTGTCGATTAATTTTCCCTCTTTTTTTAAAGCAGCAAATTGCAGGAATATACACTAATTAAGCGCATTTATGAAATAATTGGATGTGTGATTCTCTTTTTTGCCGATGCTTTCTATTTTGTTTACTACCTCCCAATTGTAGACATTTTCTTGGGTAAATGAATTTTGGTGACCTAATGATCAATACTCGTATAGTGTTAGATTGAGGGTTTATTCAAGTCTGGTGGAATTAGAAGGTATCTATTTCCTGCCCTAGTTTCAGCCTAGAGCATTCTGCAGCTAGTCTAATATCAAACTCCACATACGCCGAATATAAAATGAATCCTTTGGGAAAGAGCACAGGGAGGAAAGGTATATTGAACTCAATAATATAAGAGTTGTCTTTTTGAGCCGAGGGTCTATCGGAAGCAGCCTCTCTACCTCCTCGGGGTAGAGGTAAGGTCTGCGTACACGCTACCCTCCCAGACCCCACTTGTGGAATTTTACTGGGTTGTTGTAATAATATAAGAGTTGGTTCCATTATTGAGTTCAATAATACCAACTCTTATATTATTGAGTTCAATATAAGAGTTGGTTCCGCACCCATGGGTGTGGCCTAGTGATCAATGAAGTTGGTTGAAAATCATGAGGTCTTAGGTTCAAATTTTAGCGGAGACAAAAGCACTAGGTGATTTTTTCCCATCTGTCCAAGTCTTGGTGGATAAAGTTACCTGGTACACCTGTTGCTGGTGGGAGTCAGGTACATCATGGAGCAGCTATTGCTAGTTAGTTTTCCATTTTCTTTTAGTGACACTTGTAGATGAATTTGACTACAAATATGCATGGATCAGACCGTGCAACTATATCTGAACTTGTGGCCATAGACTTTGGATGTTTAAAATTGGATAACTGAAAGATAAACTCTCTATCCTTGTGAAGACCAAATTTCATGGACTAACTTATTTGGATAGTATGATGCTAATTTGTTAGTTCCATTACCATCTCAGACATAATAGTAAAAACATACGAATAGATGCTAATTTGTGACCAAGAGACTAGCAATTGAGTCTTTGGATTGAGAGTGCATAAAGAAGGCCAAAACATAAGCCCTGTTGCTGCCTAACTTTCTAGCTAATCGGTTTTCTCAACAATTAGCTACCAATTTTTAGTGGGATATCAGGATACATAACCATTATTTGGCTTTCTAGCATGCCAACTTACATCCATAGAAATTGGTGGTACATATCTGGTCTTCAATATGCAAACAATAGGAGAGCCCCTTTGAAGCTTGGAAAAAGTCCACGAGGGACACTCTTTGCAGCAGTGTTTGTGAGGACTTTTGATTGGATTTCTTTTCGGAAATGCTTAACCGTATAGCTATGATATAGAGAAGATTAGAAGGCTTTGAAATCAAGGATTATATAGAGAAAATGTGCAAGTGATGAAAACAGCATAAATTCAGCCCTGCATGAGAACTTTGAGTCTGGTAGGGAGAGTTTATCATGCATACATTATTGATGTGCTATTTTCTGATGACCTTGCGGTTTACTATGCCTGCTCCTAACCCCCGTCCCCACCTTCTCTCTCTCTCTCACACACACACTCTCTCTCTCTCTCACACACACACACACACACACACACTTGGAATGCTTGGAGAAAAATAAGAAGTGTTCTTGATATAAAAGTCTTGTTTTATTTGTTCAGCTTCACCTTGGAGTAAACAGTGGATCAACAAAGTTTGCAATTGAGAGGCTGGCAGTGAATGAAGCCACATTTCGTTGTGCAGATGAGCTTGGTTGGCAACCTCAGGTAGGGTGTCTTTATTTCATGGCTAAAATGAAGTAGGCTGAGATGAGCTAGCTTGATGTTTCGTGATGCTAAGATGCTTATTTATTTTCCACAGCGATTGCCTATTGCTCCGGAAGATGGAGGAATAAATCAAGCTAGAAAGGTCTTTTCTATTCCTCATATGATATTTACTAAATCTGCTTATGTATATTAATTATTAGATGAAGAAGTATCTTATATTTCTTTCATTTGTGCTAGCAAAATACATCATTCAACTAAAGGCAAAAAAGTAATTTTTTTCTTGGCATGTTTATATGCATGTTGCTCAATAAACTGAAAAGAAGTTATCTCTTTGAAATAAGCATATGCATTTATTGTTTAGCTAGGATAAGTGAAAAATAAAAAGGAGAGAAGACCTCTATTTCGTGCAAATCCCGGATCTAATTTTTAAAGAAATGAACAACCAATACTACAATTAATATTATGAGGACGTAATATTATACTATGAGTTTCAAAACACAGACCTGCAGTAACTGAATGCATTGAGTAGAGTTCAGCGGAACTTCCATAAAAAGGCAAAAGAAAATTAAAAAGCAAAAAGAAAAGTAGCTGAAAAAGTAAAGAATAGCCAAAAGTGCCCTTGAAATTGAAGTGACATGTAGATGGGATAGATGAGGAGGTCATCTTGAATTTTGTTTGTAAAAATTTGATTTTTAAGGTTGAGAGAAGAGAAGAACTTTTCTATAAAGATTACTTGAAACAAGATACTTGTAAATATAGGGCTAAATGAGGAAGGAGATTTAATGCATCAAATGCTATGTTGCGCGGACTCTCCAAAATGCTGCCGCACCCGTGTCGGATCCTCAAAAAATACACTACTTTTGAAGGATCCGACATGCATCCGGCAGCATCTTTGGAGAGTCCGAGCAACATAGAAATGTCGACAAAATGCACAAAGTAGAAAAAGTTAAGATATAATAATTTGGCTAGCCTTCAGTCTCTATCAAAATGTTGTCTAGGAGAACTACTCCAAAATTTGCATATTCTTGGTTTTAAAAAAGTGACATTGTGATGAGTATTATTGACATTGCATATTTTCACTTGTCTCAGTAAAGAGGTTGATAATAAGTTCTTTGCCTGTATTCCGTCCGTTTTCCTGGTGTCCTAATCTATTATTTTTGGGTGGTTGAAGACATCTTGCTCTGCCGAGGGAATTCTGGAATTCTTAAAGAAGAAAGGCTTTGAAGTAACAATGTCTGACGATGCAGGCCGTTTTGTGTGCAATTATGTATATTACCATTCTCTCCGGTTTGCAGAGAAAAAAGGTCACAAGTCTATCTTTGTCCATGTTCCTACCTTTAACAGAGTGAATCAGGAAACACAAATGGAATTTGTAGTTGCTCTTCTGGAGGCTATTGCATCAACTTGTTGATATCATCACCGGCTTCACATTTTTCGGCTGTTTTATGTATTCTGGTTTACCTGTAAATAGAGACTTTGATGTGCAATGAATTTCAATTATTTGGACTTGCATGTTTCCATTGAAATTCTTGGTTTGTGAAAGGGCTTTCTGTTAATTTATTACTATTGAAATTCTTGGTTTGTGATACTGTTGTTGACACTTGACTATGATGATGAAAGTCATTTCAATTCCCTTTATCTGCAATGACGTTATTCCTTTAGTACTACTCCTCCCTTCCTCTTTTTATGTACTGAGAATTTCGCGAGAAATTCAAAAATAGCCATTTAAAAGTGGTCATTCAAAAATAGTCACAGTTTCAAAAGTAATCGAAATTTAGTCACTTTTCATTAAAAAATAAATCTAAACAAAAACACTGTTCAAAATCCGAAAAATACTCCAGTATAATGTACTGGAATTCCAGTATAATATACTGGAATTCTAATATATTATATTGGAAGTCCAGTATAGTATATACTAGACTTCTAGTATAATATACTGGTCTAGCATAATATGCTGGAAGTTTATACACAGGTGCTTTAATCTCCAGTAAATTATGCTGGAACTTTCCGCGTGTTGGAGTTTCAGCATAATAGAGTTTCAGCATAATATGCTGGAAGTTCATACATAGGTGCACCGATCTCAAGTATATTATGCTGGAACTTTTCGTGTTGTAGCAAAATAGTGGCTATTTTTCAATGACTTTGCAAATGCTAGCTTTTTTGAATGATCAGTCCAAAAACTGGCTAGCCCATGCTATTTTTACGAGAATTTCTCTTATAAATTGTTTAAGCCGGTACACGCTTGACTTTGGTTCCTGTTCCTTTCATCTGTATAATTTTCAGAACAAATGGATGATGAAATAAGTTTAAAGATTGCGTTTTGCATCTCTTTTAGCAAAATTTCAATTTCAAAATATCAAATACACTTTTTGAGCAAAAGTGGATTCGATTAAACCCGTAAGGCGGCTTGTGCCTCCGCGCCTGCGAAGAATACTTGTGCCAAATATTCAGATATGCGAAATAAAATTAATTTTTTTTAATAACATACACACTACTCTCAGAATATAATAACAAAATCTTCCCATAATATATACAACCTCCGACAAAGTCCACACTATTTAGGATTTTAAATATCTTTTCTTTTTTCTTATCTTTTCTCTCATAATTTTTAAGCATGTTGTTCTATGGCTTCCTCAACTTCTTTCTGTTCTCTTTTCTTTACGCAAAAACTCCTTCGCCTAATTAACTTTTTTCTTCATTTCTTCTTTGGAGAACCACCATTAAAAACTAATATGAAACTTAAGTTTGAATTAGAAAATTTTTAATGGTTGTTTTTGAGTGTGTGGGGTTGAAATTCGTCGGAAACATTTACGAGACTATTTACAAAATTTGAAGAAGGTTGAAGGTTATCTGGACTGGTCTGGAATCAAAATTCGAAGCTGAAAAATGTCACTACAATTTTGTATTTCACGTGTATGACACTTGTAAGTAGGGGTGTTCATTAAAACCCGAAAAACCGATTCTATCCAAAAATCAGATTAAATCGACCAAAAAAAAACAGATACTTTTTAGGTTTGGTTTGGTTTTGGTTTTGTAAAACCGATCAAATTTGGTCTGATTTTTGTTTTAATAAAAAATAATCGAAAAAACCCAAACCAAACCGACTATAGAAGTAGTTATTTAAAATTTATTATTACACCTATATATAAGTATATTTTTATATAAAGTTTCTAACATTTTATGGTACATATTAGTCATTTATATTTTTAGTCTAGTTCTTTGCTATTATAATAAGCTAACTCTTTGTTTTTATATTCTAGTTTGATCGGTAATTAAATTATTCATCTCTATTTGATTCAATTATCGGCAATATATCTTGGTAAATGATAGATTTCTCAAAGAGCAATTGGTTTGATAGTGTTACGTTGAAAATGTACTCGCCGGAATATGTGTTTGGTAGTGTATGTCGCATATTTAGGGGTGTAAATAGGTCGGGTTGGTTCGGGTTTTGCAATTACCAAACCAAACCAATTGTGTCGGATTATTAAATCTAAAGAACAAACCAAACCAATAAAACTCGAGTTTTTCAATCTCGATTTTTCTTGGGTTTTCGGGTTATTTGGGTTTTTTTCGGGGTTTTTTTTCGGTAAAATCTTTGTAGCACAAACATATAACTTGTGCTCAAAATATTTCTTTAATCCTAGTAAGATACAACTATATAAGGTATTTTTCAAGAAAATATTACAAAATATGAGATGTGTCATGGCATTAGCCTAAAATATTGAACAATAAAGACAATAAAATTATGTAATATAAATATTGGTAATTAAAAATCCATAATAAAAATAAACATAATCTAAAAGTACTAAGTCATGCTAAAATAAGTAGATTAATTGTCACGACCCAATTTAACCCCTCCGAATATGTCGTGACGGCACCTAGTCTTTACGACTAGGTAAGCCTAATATTACGAAAAATTTAAAGAAAACACTATTATAAAAATTAAAACAGCAGATTGTAAATAACAAGGATAGAGCCTCTCGGCATATACAAATAATCTCCCAAGAACCGGAATATCATTAAGTCACAAGCTTCTATAATCTATGTAGCTCTATACAAAAGTCTGAAGATAAACAAAAAAGGGAATATCTAGGAGGGAATAGAAGGGGACTCCGAGGATCTGCAGACGCGGGCAGAAATACCTTGAAGTATCCTGGAATCAGCAAGCACACACTAATCTCGAGGTTGATAGCTCGTACCTGAATCTGCACATGAAAACATGTGCAGGAAAGGGCATGAGTACACCACAATGGTACCCAATAAGTGCCAAGCCTAACCTCAGTCAAGTAGGGACGAGGTCAAGTCAGGGCCCTACTGGAGTATATATAATAAATTAACAGTAAAAGATATAAATAGAGTTTACGGTAAAATAATTAAAGAAATGCACAAATTTCAACAGTTAAGGGAGCCCTCGGCTCAGAACAAGGTAAACACAACAGGAAACTCTCCCTGGATACTGTCCCGTAGGTTCCGAAATGATGCAGTACAGGGGGGATCTCCCGGAATACGTCCGTAGTCCCAAATAAATATGCAGTGCTGAGGGATCTCCCGGAATACGTTCGTAGTCCCAAAATAAATATGCAAGATAGGGGGATCTCCCGGAATACGTCCGTAGTCCCAAAATAAATATGCAAGACAGGGGGATCTCACGGAATACGTCCCTAGTCCCAAAGTAAATATGCAGCTCAAATAAAATGACAGGTACGACATCAAATTATACAGTTTAGACTAAACACAATCGAGGGAAGAAGGGGTCCACCTAAGCACGCCACACAGAAATCAATTAGGCAGTTAAAACACGTAGATATGCTTTCCTAATCTAATCTCAGCAATTAAACATAGTAGTGCAGTCAAATAAGGGAAACAGTTATGACTAAGGAGGAAAAAATGGGATTTTTACAACAATAGCCCGTGTAGGTACTCGTCACCTCACGTACACGGCACTCACACACCAAATAATACCAAACATCCTAAGGGGAAGTTCCCCAACACAAGGTTAGGCAAGCCACTTACCTCGAATCGCTCAAATAAACCCGATATCACGCTCTTGCCACGAGTATCCGGCTCCGAATGACCCAAATCTAATCAAACCAATTGCATAATGTAAATATAACTAAGTAACTAATTTAACTAATGAAATCAAGCTAGGGTAAGAAAATAGGAAAAATGCCCGAAAATCCTCCCCGGGCCCACGTCTCGGAATCGGGTAAAAGTCACAAATTATGAACACCCATTCACTCACGAGTTCACTCGTACAAAAATCATCCCAATCCGACATCAAATTCCTATTCAAAACTCAGATTTTCAATTGGGGAACTTTTTCCTCCATTTTCAAACTTCCACCCTCAGATTCCTTAATTAAATGTGGAAAACAACAATAGATTTATGTATTTGATCCAAAATAGAAATAGAGTTCATTACCCAATAGTTCCTTCAAAATCCCTCAAGAAATCGCCTCCCACCGAGCTCCAAATTAAATTTTGTGTTATGAAATTTCAAACCCTCGAAACCATCTTTTCTGCCCAGCGATTTCCGCGTCTGCGCTTCTAGGACTGCACCTACGGTCCTGCTACTGCAGCTAGAGCTCCGCATCTGCGGAATCTCATTAATTCTTCAAGCACCATACCTGCGCTCATTTCTTCGACGATGCGGCTCCGCTTCTGCGGTTCTTGAGTCGCACCTGCGACCACTGGTCCTCTTGCCTCAAACCGCACCTACGACCTCCTTCCTCGCGTCTGCGGGGCCGCACCTGCGGGCTTCCCATTGCAGGTGCGAAAACACTAGAAGCAACCAACTTCAGAATTTGCCCAAGTCTAAATTCAAATACGTTAAGCATCCGAAACTCACCCGAGGCTCCCGTGACCTCAACCAAACATACCAACCAATCCTAAAACATTATGCGAACTTAGTCGAGCCCTCAAATCACATCAAACAACACTAAAACCACGAATCACCCTCCAATCCAAACCTAATGAACTTGAATTTCTAGAATTCTACAACTGATGCCGAAACCAACCAAACCATGTTTGATTGACCCCAAATTTTGCACACAAGTCATATTCACCACTACGGACCTATTCCAACTTACGGAATAGGATTCCGACCCCGATATAAAAAATTCCACTATCAGCCCGAAACTCCAAAAATTCAACTTTTGCCATTTCAAGCCTAAGTGAGCTTCTGACCTCCAAAACATAATCCGGACACGCCCCTAAGCCCGAAATCACCCAACGGAGCTAAAGGAATTGACAGAATTCCATTCCGGAGCCGTCTTCACATTGTTCCGACTACAGTCCGAATTCTAAGACTTAAACTCTCATTTAGGGACTAAGTGTCCCAAAACACTCCGAAACTCAAGATGAACCATCCCGACAAATCACAATAGCAGAAAATGACACGGGGAAAGCAGTTAATAGGGGATCGGGGCGTAAATTCTCAAAACGACCGGCCGGGTCGTTACATCCTCCCTCTCTTAAAACATTCGTTCGTCCTCGAACGAGCATAGAAACATACCTGAAGTGGTGAAAAGATGAGGGTAATGGCTGTGCATATCCTGCTCTATTTCCCAAGTCACCTCCTCGACCGGTTGACCCCGCCACTGAACCTTTATTGATGCAATGCCCTTTGACCCGAGCTTT